TCATCCCATTGTAAATTGCTGTATCTAGTGTTCTGTAATTTGGAGTCAATGATTAATCAATTATATACTGAAATATAAATAAGTACAGTGTACTCCCAAGGCGCATGGGGTGTGGTAATCTGCAAAATTGACGTTGAGGGTCCATTTTGGCCCATGTGTGTGTGTGGGGGGGGGGGGTCAAGAAGATCGGCTCAACTGTGAAAATGGGGGTCGAAGCAGCGACACAACCGTTTACTTCAACTACTTTAACAATAGAATAATATGATTGATACAACACCATATCTACATTATAGCAGTATGGTCACAAAATACATCTATCAACAACATTAAAATTGAATATACTAAGTTTGAAAGATCTATAAAAAGTTTAATAGTGTCTGAAACATATAATAATTATATAAATTTGCATTCTTGACTAAGTTTATCAAACTCTGGAAATGTAATTTTGTGAAAGAAATTTTGTCTAAATGCTGAAATCTTTGAGCGATTCATTACGTAACTGTTTTCATTGCCAATTTTATGTTTTGTCACATATTAAACTTGCAGATCCTCTCATCACGAGGGGTATGCTTGTAGTGTTGTCCTTGTTCAATTGGTAAATTGTGACTTGAGATTCTTAATTAAGTCATTTCTCTTCGAATTTTATAGTTTGCAATTAATTTTAGATAATATTCTAATTTATAAATCTTTTTAAAATGTTTGTAAGTTTTGAGTTTGTCGCTAACATTCTGGTCGTTGTTTTTGTTTTTATTCTCACTCTCAAGAAATTTGGTTAGTCTATTATTAATTGAGTATAATTTCCCTGGACAGCTTATTTCTCTTTCGTTTGATGGATCTTTTTACCTTCCTGACTTGTAAATAGAAACAATATATCCTTTGATGGATATTCAATCATACTGTGTTAACTTATAAATATTCATCAATGAATATCGACCAATGCCGCCATGGCTTCCCACCATGCATTGGGGTTGTCAATTCACGTTGAAGCCCGAGAACGAGAACGTACAAATCAGTTTGCGCTTGGTCGAGGATCTTCGCCGTGAGTTGACACTTCCACAGTCATCTGGCACGTTTATGGCCGCGCACGAGTATGGATACTGATTCGTGCAATCTGCACTGTGATGTAGCGCCATCTACGGCAAAAATAAACGTGAACTTTTGAACTTTCCCCTTTCGCTGTCTGCCATTTTGTGTTGCGTGTTGCTGGCCTTGTGACTGTTGATATATTTTGAGAAACTGGACTCGTATCGTTCGAAATGTTTGGTCTAATATCACGTCCAGCAAGGCGGTTGACACAAGCGGTACGTAAAAAATTGAATGCATGTTGATAGTTTCAATGAAAATATGTGTACAATAGTGTGAGCAGTTGATGTGTTTTCACCTTGTGAAAGCTGCTGGTCGGTCGGCTCAAAAATCGTATCGTGCGTGTGAAGGTCATGGTCAGTGTCGGTCAACTTATGTGGCATTTATTCGATACTGTGCCTCTCTCACATATCTCATGTATTGATCTTATTAATAACCAGAGTAGAATATGCTTAGTTAACGACGGAAAACAATTCATCACAATTCCTGCCTGCTCACAAGGTCTGTTTGACCTCGCAACCATCGTGATTGACACATCCAAGATTTCATCTGAACTATTCGTCTTATCAAATGGCACATATTTTGTTACCTAAATAAATAAAATATTGTAATATTTTAGTGAATAAGTTATTTTATTTGGGAAATACACTATACAAGTTGCGGGAAGTTAAACACATACAATTCAAACAAACTAAAACAATCCTAAAATTTTAAAAACAAACTGTACTAAATAATTAAGGATAAAATGATCAATACTTGAAAAATAAAAGAAAAAAAATCAGTTGCAATTCCAGTATCATATATTAGAAGTCCTGAACTCTCTAAAGTTTGCTTGTGGTATGATCCCAAAGTGATCATCCTTTTCTATATGTCTTAAATTGCTTTGAAATTCCCAATCATAGGTGTGACTGCCTGAGTCTAATATTTTAATTTCATTGCAGGTATCATCATTTTACAGAAATGGCAGTACATTAGTGATAGCAGAGCATACTAATGAGACACTGACACCTGTCACACTTAATACTATCACAGCTGCTAATAAGATAGGTGGTGATGTTGTGTGTCTAGTTGCTGGAACAAACTGCTCTAAGGTGAGATACACACATTATTCTGAACAATATTTCCCCTTTTTTGTACTAGTGAAAACAGTTAAAGTTGCTCTGCTGCTCAACTATTGAATGAAGTTATCATTTTGTATGTAGTACCAGGGATCTAATAGTTTTATTGTTGATATAAAAATACTTCATGTGGGCCACTGGGATCTTTTGGATATTGAGTGATCTCTGTGGCTATTAAGGTCAAAGGTCTATTCAGATATTGCTGTTAATGGCTCTTTAACTGTATCATTCAACTCAGTGAGGTTTACATGTACATGTATGTACCACATTTGCACTTCCAACTTTTCTTCCTAAGACTGTAATATCAAAGCTTTTACAAGTTTATTGTGGTTGATTGAACTCGCACATTGTATCATTTCAGGTTGTAGAGCAGTTAGCACAGGTCAAGGGTGTAAGTAAGATTCTTGTAGCAGATAATGAAGCATACAAAGGATTCTTAGCAGAGGCATTGACACCACTGGTATTAGCCACACAACAACAGTTTAATTTCTCACACATAACAGTAGGAGCTACTGCATTTGGCAAGGTGAGTAGTAATAATAGTACGGTAGTACCGGTAGTAATAATAGTAGTACCGTAGTAGTGTCGTCTTGTACTGCTTTGAAAGGAAATAGATTACAGTTTAGATCTGCATTCATAAAACTTTCCAAATAAATTTAATTTAAGTTCCTGATTTAATTTTAACTAGCTTCACCTCAGATTGGAGAGTTTTCAGAATTTAAAACTGAAAATGTAATTCATTATCCATTGGCAAAGAATCAAATTCAGCCATTTCTGTTGCAATTTACTTCTCTGCTGTTTAACTGGTTGTTATGGTGATTTTAATGCCAAAAGAGACTGTATTACAACAAAGTGAACAGGCATATATGACTTGTGAGTATCACTACTGTAAAAACTGTATTTCTCATATCTGTAGATGCTCTAATAGAAACGGCATTCCATCTGTTGCATTGCCCAATTTTAATAGAAGCTTCTAATACAGATTTTACAGTATATACAATGAACTGTTATCAGAATAGTAGTAGTGTTGTGATTGATTGTTGTGCATAGTTCTAAATGAGTGTCTTATAGATGACAGTAATATTCTACACATATCTCAGTCATGCATTTATTTTATTGCTTTGTATGTATAACATACACTGGTTTCTTTTAGAATCTTCTACCTAGAATTGCAGCCAAACTAGACGTAGCTCCCATTTCTGACATCATTGGTATTGAATCAGATGACACATTTGTCAGAACAATATATGCCGGCAATGCTGTCGCAACAGTCAAATCAAAAGACCCAGTCAAATTATTCAGTGTCCGGGGCACTGCTTTTGAAGCATCTGGAGAAACTGGTGGATCTGCTGGCCAGGAAGAAGGTATTTTAAACATTGCTGTTGATACTTCATGTGTATACAGTGTCATAACGCTAACTCTAACCAGCTTAAAGCTAAATTGTGCAAAGCATTACGCCTAAAAACATCGATAAATAGTACAAAGAAAATGTTGAAATTATTGATGGCAATGGCACTCTTTTTCTTGAAAAGGCAAAGCTAGTTACTTCTGGCCTGTACTTTAGAGGTTATTATGGCAATAATAGTATGAGGTTATTATGACTCATGCGCAGCGAAGGTTAATGCGATTGTGTACTGTCTGAGTGCATAATAACCTTATTACTATACATCTTTTCCTTCCAAGGATACATAATGGAAATGCCGAAATCCAAAATGTTTAGAACAGAATCAGCAAACTTCTTTGTGTGGAGTCCGGTCAAACCCTGGTGGCAGCCATGTTTGTTTTTATTATTAGAGAACGCTTACACATGTAATCGCTCCATATTAGGAATTCGCATTTCCTAATGTAGTAGGATGAAAATACCCAGTACAATAGCGCAAAATTAGGGCACGCTGTCACTTATGGCGTTACGGTGACAGATGTATAATAATAGCATATAACTAAAAAGAAGCCTATTTAATGTTCAGTAGGTGACTGGAAGTTGTATGAAACCATGAGTTGTATTCCATGTTGAGTCAGAACATATATTCTAGTGGTATTCCAGATCAGTTTATTACAATGGTTAATGAGATGTTTGAAATATCTACATAAGTGACAAATTACACTTTTAGTTTTACATATCATAATTCTGTTTCATTTCTTATAGCACCTAAAGCAGACATTCCTACAGGTTTGTCATCATGGCTTGGACAATCCTTGAGTGAAAGTGATCGTCCTGAACTCACCAGTGCCAAGACTGTCATATCAGGAGGTAGGACCAATCAAATTGTTTCCCAAATAGTTAGTTGTTTATTACTAGTACATATCTAATAAGCACAGAATTGTTGAATGTTTTGTTAGTTCTGTATGTGTTTGCTGGTGACACAGCCATTAAAATCAGGTACCTGCATACATGATGTAAAGTACCTTCTTGACAAAACCTTGTACAATTATTGTGAATGTTTACTTTCACTTTCTCTTCGCATTTTAATCTGTCATAGTGTGATGTTGCAACTATTTGTATACATGTAGTTGAATGACCAACCATAATATTGGTTTGACATCAATTTAACATTTGTAATACATTGTATACAAATTTGGCCTTTGATTGTGGTTTTAGGGCGTGGCATGAAGAATGGTGACAATTTCAAGTTACTCTATGCCTTAGCTGACAAACTGAATGCTGCAGTTGGTGCATCACGTGCTGCAGTCGATGCAGGGTTTGTACCAAATGATATGCAAGTTGGACAAACTGGAAAGATTGTTGCACCGGTAAGTCTAGATTATGCTTTACCAAATGACTGCCAGAGCTTGAACTGCATTACAGACTGGTTTACTATGCCAACTGTTTACTAACAGTGGTTGGATAAAACATGTCTCTGTTTGTATTTGGCTGAATTAACATTTGAGAACACAAATAATGTTAGGAAACATAAAAATATAACAAACATGGCATTTTGGTGTTTTTTTTTGGACGAAGCAAAAAAGAAATCAGTATGCATAGAATTACATGTTTTTGTACCAATTTTCAACAAATTGGTCCAGGCATGTCCAAAAAATAATGTTAGAAGGAACCCGAAACACAAGCCTGACAGGGACTAAACAGCAGCACACTTCTCATGGCCAACCTAATTTGATCTTGTAATGCAGGCAACGCACGAGTTAAAAACATTTTGCTTGATCCGATTGTCTCGCAAACACAAGCAGTGGTTTTCTGATAATCCAACCTTGCCTAGATTTTGCATGCCACTCAAAACTGTTCCTGTTTCTTGCTGCAGGGTGAGATTCTTCACACAAAAATGCTAGCCCCATATAGGGTCAATATTTTTACAATTGCTCATGTAAACCAGTATCAACATTGTGAAGCAACATCTTATTGACTTGTAAGGTTAATTAAAATAATATATTATAACAAAAATAAAAGGTATGACGTGTCATCAAATATTTCAAGAAATTTCAAATTCCAGCTCTTTGGGTTAAAATTTCTACTTAGTGTCATATGCTGTATTGTAGATTAATACATATCATATTGGTGCATCTTTTTCTATTACCTAGGATTTGTATATAGCAGTTGGTATATCTGGAGCCATTCAACATTTAGCCGGTATGAAAGACAGCAAAACTATCGTAGCTATTAACAAAGACCCAGAGGCACCAATCTTCCAAGTTGCTGATTTTGGATTAGTGGCTGATCTATTTAAGGTATGCATGCATTGATTTATAAGCTGCCACAGGCAACTGGCAATAATGATGAAGTAAGTTTTTGATGTACTGTAAAAGTAATGCCATATTAAAAGCGCATATTAACCCAAAATTGCATTCATTGTGTGCTGCATCATAACAAAATGACCATAGACAGCACACCTGTTATTTAGTAAGTAGTACAAATACAGTCCATAGTTGTATTGACTGTCATTCTTTTCTCGTTTGCAGGCTGTTCCAGAAATGACAGAAATTCTTGCCAAGTAGAGCAGATAAATTATCTACCAATACAATTACGGGTTGGCATGGTTTTAAAGCAGTGTCTTTGAACAAGATGAGTTAGAGCATTGGGTACACAGCTCAGTGCTACAGGCCAAGGGTGAATTATTGTAGAATCCGTATCATAAAGCCAAAAAAAAACAAAGCCATTTGTGAGGTGAATAATTTTTTATTACAATCAATACTACCTGGGGGCCTTGTACATTCCTGAATTACTCTATTGTATAATTGTTTGGTGAATGCAAGTGAAATAAAAGCTACAATTAAAGGCGATTGTTTTAATTTTATTAATTGAAATTTTATTACCTTATACATGTAAAACCATACAGTACCAAATTAACGATGTAAAAATTAATTAAGTTCCATGCATTGCAAAATTTGAATTCTACTCCAGCTTCCTGAGGTTTAAGTAGCATAAAACTGAATGTCAAGTTCAGACACATGACAAAACCTACTCTAAAATGTTTACAAAAATTCCTATATAACATTTTGTAGTAGAAGTAGGCCTCAAAATATTATTGTGTTACATACAGTAATTAAGAATATTCTGGGGTCAAGAAACTTTTTTAATTAACCATGACTGCAAATAGAATGTTATGGTCGTTTTAAAGTTATTTCCATAACACATGGCATATAATATAAGTTGAAGTTCATGCATTTTTACATTGTGTAAAAGGAAGTCAGGCGGGCACAACATTTTTGTTTGTGCCTTAAGTCACATGCATTTTTATTAAAACCAACCTTCCCAGCATTCAAGTTAACTTTGGCAGGATCTCTGTAAAATCTGTCATGTTAGTGGACACCCTGCCTGCTGTTGCCATGAATCTACAACTTGTACCCAGTATTTGGAATCTGAGTCTTAGCATATGTAAAGTTGTCATAGCTTACCAATATAACAATTCGTTTAGCTCACAGCATGTTCATTCTAACATAGGGAAATGTTTGTGAAAGGCCAACTAAAGACAAATCGGTTTTCATTATTTAGAATTCTATAAAATTCAAAAGCCATCAGATGATGACTTTTAAGAATATGGGGGGGGGGGGGGGGCCTTGAGCTTTTTTTATTTTGTTTCCAGCATGCATACAATTGTTATATGGATAATGTAACATTTTGGTGCTCAGTGATATGAACACTGTTTTCATATCTAATATGGCAAGTTAAATAATTGTGAATTGTTACATTATAGATGCTTCCAGATGAACCAAGTCACTATTCTCTCCCAGTATTTCACATATCTCTCTGGTTTCTCAAATGTCTCTTTCGTAACATTGTTGCTCCTTCCATATAAACTCTTCTGTTCCTATCAACCATAATAAACAAATTAATTAGCATATTGTAAACCAAATCCATTTTAATAATTGACAATTTTGCGAGACTGGGAAATTGCAAAAAGCTCTCAAAATTATCCATTGATTTGAATGATTTTGTTCTGTTAGTTGTGGCCTTGAACATGTGATAGATTTCTCTTGTTATAAGCAACCAATCAGGAAATTGTCTACTCATGTCTTGTTAGACCCCCAGCATTTAAGAGAAAGTAAAATCTTATGCATTGAAAAAACCTGGTGTCAAACAAGCTGCTCCCAACCAATCAAATAGTTTTGCAACGACTTGCATTTCGTTATATCATTGGATCCTACAGTATATTTATCTTCACACAAGTCCAAAGTCTCAAATTGTAGATGCTGAGATATCTACTACAGCATGTGAAGATACACAATCAATTTGTTCCCTAACTGTTGATGTTTGTAGGATAAATCATATTGGCAATATATATACATGTATAGTGTTACGTACATCATATAGTTGTCTTCTCAAGCCTTCATTGGTTGTTACTACTGCTAACTGTACTTCCAAGTCACGTTTGACAGATCGATGTCCTGTAAAAAAAAATTATTTAGCGAATCAACAATGTGTGTCCTATCACGTTGTAATCTACATATAATGATTTCATAGTGCTGCATATTCAGCATCAATCATCAATTGAAATCGTTTTAGTTTTCAAATTGAATATTATCTTCTGCAGGGTAGGAAAACAAAACATTTTTAGCCACTGGTTGGGTTCCTTGTTGATTTTGACTCCATTCACTACATTTTTGACTCCCA